GTCCTATCGAACTCCACATAACACATTTAGATTGAAACACTCTACTGCTAGCGTGAATGACAAAACAAATTCGATATGGCTCACATCCCAGGCCTATTATCAGCTCTTAACTCAGTGTCGATTGCTATCACCCATCACTTGCGACTCCGTCCCACTTCTCACTACACGTTTGAATACAAACTTGTACATATTATACTTTCGGCGCGACCTGCGTAACGAATTTGTGACACTGCTTCACCGCCTCTCCCCAGTTCTTTGCTTCCACCAACTATCTATGTTACCGTTCCGTCACATTTGATTAACAGTTCGTGAATTCCGAGTTTGAGCACTCTTCGGCCAATAGGAGCAAGGTTATGAACTTGTAGTCAGACAAACACACACAACCACTTAACGTATTGTATGTATAGTGAGATGCTTTGATTGTATTATAGACAAATGGATAATCGGATTGTAGATGTAGATTTACATCGTCAGTTGTGTTTACATGCAATTTTGCAATTCTATTTGTTCAGATTTCTGCCCTTCCTAAGGGTGCACCCTATGGATGCAGCTGCAGGTGGAGTGTGTTTGACAATACCATGGACATCTTGTGCTTCTTCCGAAAGTTTGTGTAGAACTGGATACTGTAGAACAGCTTCAGTCGATATTTTTGTAACATCTTCTCACTCGAACAGAACTTCACAATAAACTTTGGAAATGCAGATTTCCTTCACCACGGCAAATTCCAACATAGAATGAGAAGCGGAGCCAGCCATTGAAAGCCAATAGAGCTGATTGACTGATGCCATATGGATTTTTAAGTAGATCACCTGTGAGCCTGTGCCGCTTCCTAGGCTTCATGTTGTTAAAGATACTTCGCCTCTTCAAGAAATCGCACTGCTCAACCGGCGCCCATCACTTAGCATGGTAATTTGCGACTGAGAGGGCAAGAGTATGAGTCCACGGATATTTTTCACAGAGGTTCTCTCACCTGAATTTCGAGCCGGTTAGTGGCAGGGCTAAGTGGCGCGACCATAGGGTAGGGGGGGGAAATCGCTGACCAAAAACTACCATATATTTGCCCTGAGACGCACGTCGATCAGGGATGGGCATCCCTTTCTCTGCAGGCTGTGTCCTACTACAGTGCGTTTAGAAAGTATAAAGGCACCCATGAAACTAGCTGCTCACAGTTAGGATAAAGCTTTCATGGCCAGTCTCGTTGAACAAATTCAGCATGGCCTGAAACTATAGCCTACTTTATTTCAGAACGAAATATAAGCTATAAACGTTATTATAGCGAAAAATGACCTACTACCTCCTCCATGGAGGACGATTTGAGCTTTCTTCTGAGGGAGAACAACCAGGTGGTACCACGACATCTTGATAGCACAGCAGAGGTCTTCCACAGTATTTCCCTGCTTTACACCAGCATAGATCTCCCTCGCGATAATTCCTTATATGATTTCTATGGAGTTTAAGTTATAATAAATGCGGGCCAATCTAACAAGGATTCCCCTAAGGGTCCGCAGTTACCGGTTCTGCTGCAGTAGATGTCATCGTTGTAGTGATTTTGAACTATAATGTTCTGAGAAACACCATTTTAGAACGACAGTAAACCATCAGAAAGAACATACCTCATAGTCGCTGGAACTCGTTCTACATGATACACGGGCGTGAGAGAGTACAGCACTGGTGCACAATGTAGTCCAGGCCATATGGGATAATCCACCGAAGTTACCCAGCTGAAGACCAATGGAAGTTTACAACGATGTCTTCATTAGCTGCGACATCCATGCAACACGTTTCATCCTTACCGAAGAATTAGCGCAAATCCAAAGGAAGTCTTGACTAGCCACCTTCAAGGAGATGCCATCCTGTGAACAACCTGCTGAATCCCGTTCCATTATTATGTTCCTCCGTGCGAGCTGTTTCGTGGTGCTCCCCTGCATCATTGACTCTCCCACAATACTTGGGGTCGATTTCGCATTTCTCCAGGTGATGATTCTTAATGCGCAAAGCAATGGTCATGTTAAATATGGTTGGCTAACATGGTTGTACAGTTGCACGCGTTGCGCGCGCAACACAGTTCTGCGGCGATATGGGATAATGTGGCGTATTCTCAATTTGGCCCGGTACACTACGAATATTTGACTTATAAGCTAGGTTCTATCCGCTTCACCACCGATAGCTTTTGATCACTCCTTCTTCGCAACCATTATCCGCTTTTCCCGGTTCTCTGAACTGATTTATGAATCTTTTCGTAAACTCTGCCTATTTCGGTGCATGTCTCACCCACGTTTTTCTTCCTTGCCAATCTCTCCCACATTTTCCCGGTCTTTGAACTGTCTCTGAGCGATTTATATGCTGAAACCGCGCCCACCAATAAGAATAACTTCCCCGGCCTCTATTCACTTCTCCTCCGATCTCTGCAACTTTCTAGAAACACTTTAAAAGTCCTGCAATAAACTCCGCACACTTTGACCATGCTCCGCCTACCGATAATTGACATCCTTCCCCAGGCCGACTCTATCCCTTTTTCCCAGCCTCCGGGACTTCTTGGAGCCGAGTTATGAATTTTCGTCGCAAACTCCGCCCACTTTGGTCATGCCCCGCCCACCGATGTTGACCTCCACTCCTCCACCCATCTATCCACCTTTTTCCGGCTCACTAAGACTTCTCCGAATTATGAGGACTTGTAGAAAAACTTCAGAGCGCGCTCCGCCCATTGTGGGCGGGCCTCCGCCCACGTCATGTATGCTGGAAACACCTTAGACATTGCTCCCCTTACACCAATTGTTTTCTGCTCTGTAGGCTTTCTCCCAACCGAGTT